AAGGATGAAGCTTATTCATGGGCAGGGACACCTTCCACTGGAATATTGCCCTTTGTAGCTGGGGGAAGATTTGGGGTGTTTGTGGAACAGCCCTGGGTGTGGTGGGGAGGTGCTGAAGCAGAGGATGAAGGACGAGGATCTTCTCTAGAGGCTGAAGGAAGAGGAGCTCCTCTAGAGGCTGAAGGAAGAGGAGCTTCTCTAGAGGCTGAAGGAAGAGGAGCTTCTCTAGAGGCTGAAGGAAGAGGAGCCTCTCTGGAGGCTGAAGGAAGAGGAGCCTCTCTAGAGGCTGAAGGAAGAGGAGCCTCTCCAGAGGCTGAAGGAAGAGGAGCTGTCTCTGTCCCAGGCTTCTGCAGCCAGGGGAGCAGGGGATGGCTCAGCAGGGGCAGCAGTTAGAGGTTGTGGGACTGTGTGTGTGCAGTCACAGCTCATCACAGCCTCCCAAACTGCACTTTTAGGGGAGGCTGGAGGAAACCAAACCAAAGGTGGGCCACTAATGGAGTCCTTGCCTGGTCCTCTGCCTGCCCCCAGGCCAGAACCAGCTGAGGGCACACTGGGAGCCTTCCCCCAAGGAGGAGAGCAGGGCGAGTGGGAAGATGTGCTGACATCTCACCTCGTTTGTTATCTCAGGGAGCCTGCAAACGACAGGGATGAGAACAGCAGCGTGGAGAGCTGTTGGCATCTCTGCAGCAGTGTAACACATCTAATTTATGGTGTTAATATAGATCAAGAAGTTCTGTGTCCACAGAACAACTGCAGGGAGGGCTGACCTTTCCCAAACTTGGCTTGTTTTCTGTCGTGCTTTTGGGATCATCTGGAGCTGATCAGACTGGTAACCTAAAAAAATCAGTATTGCCTAAAAATATAGACAATCACTTTTGTTTTCAGTGGAGCAACATTTGCTGTAAGTAGAGGGTTGGGTTGTTTGAAAATAAGTTTCAGTGTTCCAGCTCCACTGTGCACCAGCCTTGCTTTTAAATTTATAACTCTCCAAAATGAAAAGTAAATGGATTGTGTTATTCCCAGCCCTTTTATAAAAGTTAACATTGCAAAAACAGATGTGAAATGTGGCCTCGCAGATTACAGCCTGAGCTTGGGGTTTTTAGGTTGGGGTTTTATTTTTTCCTTACTCTCTCTGTGTTGTGTCCCTGAGGAGCAGAAATCTGCCTTTTTCCAGCAGGAGGAAAATTGTTCTGTGTCTAAATTGCCTCCTGCCAGGCTTGTGTGGATGCTGCAGGACACGGAGCTCCAAGGAACGATAATGCCTTTACACAACCAGGCAACTTAGCAGGGAATTTTTAATTAGGAATGTGAAGGAAAATTCAGATTGCCTGGGAATTTGGTAATGCTCTGACCCACCTCCCAGTCCTGGGACATCCATCCCAGTGTGGCCCTGGGAGATGGTGATTTAAGGCACTGGCAGGCAGGTTGTTGTCTCCAGCTGCCTTCAGGAGGCAGGTGAGCATGTCCTCCCCTCCCACACCAGCCTGGCTGTGGTGTGGTCTGGAAAAGCAGAGTCTGGGCCAGGCCTGGAGCTGCCCAGCTCTCCCCAGGTCAGGGAGGGCTGAGCTGTTGGATGCTGTGCTCAGCCTGGAGAAAAGGAGGCTCGGGGGGACCTTGTGGCTCTGCACAGCTCCTGACAGGAGGGGACATCATTTCCTGTGCTCTGGTATGTTACAAAATCCCAGCGAACACCAGGAAGAAGTGACTTCTCTGGCAGAAGAGGTGAAAGGGCTCTGTCACTTCCATAAACCTCACATACATAAATTATTGTCTTCTATTAGTCACTTAAGGGCTCAGTTGCTTAATTATTTTGATCACAGTAATCATTTATTTACAAGGTGGGGAAAAATGCCAAGCACTTCCAAGCCGAGCAGCACAGCAGGGAGGAGGCAGGGCTGCAGAGGCATTTCTTTCCTCCCCACAAGTCAAAATGCTTTTGCTTCGTAGGTCCCTTTTGAGGTCCCTGCTGAGCGATGATGCTCTGATCCACAGCCTTTGGTGCTCCCCCAGGAAAGAAGTTCAGTGAAACCAACTTCAGGTCCCTGTGCAGGAGAAGGTTCCAGGGAGAGCTCAGAGCCCCTGCCAGGGCCTAGAGGGGCTCCAGGAGAGCTGGAGAGGGACTGGGGACAAGGGGTGGAGGGACAGGACACAGGGAATGGCCTCAAACTGAAAGGGGGTAGGCTTAGATGGGATATCAGGGAGAAATCCTTCTCTGTGAGGGTGGTGAAACCCTGGCACAGGATGCCCAGAGCAGCTGTGGTTGCCCCTGGATCCCCTGGAAATGTCCAAGGCCAGGCGGGATGAGGCTTGGAACAGCCTGGGCTAGGGGAAGGCGTCCCTGCCCATGGTGGGACTGGATAAACTCTGAAGTCCTTCCAACCCAGACACTTCCATGACTCTGTGAGTATTTGGGGGATGAAGGGGGAAGGAGGCATCTGGTAGAGTTTAAGTGGATCTCTCTAAAACCTGTTTGCAGCCTGAAGGTATTTGGGTTTTCTCCTGAAATCTGTCTTCCTCCCAATCCCCAGCCCAAGAACACGCTCTCACCTCCCCAAACCTCACCTTCCAGCCTCCCCTCTGTGTCTGCCACATGTTTCTGCTTAGGAACCCACCGTGCCTTCCCTGCTTCCCAGAGAAGGGCACGCAGCTCTGAGCCTTCCCTAATTCCATTAGAGCCCATTAGAGGCTCCGGGCAGAGACCGCAGAAAGCAAACGGCCCCTTTGAACAAATCCCAGGCCCAGTGCCAGCCAGGGATTCCCACTCTTTACAAACCACCCTCCAAATAAAGAGGTAAAATGGGAATGGGCAGGGGGGAAATATGCATTTTCTAATCACCCAGATTTAGGCCTTCAAAGGATTTATTACAACCTTTTATTTCCATGCGTGGAAAATGGAATCTTATCTCGTGAGCCGGCTGGTCCAGCTCGACTGGGTTTAGAGCAGGGAGCTCTCAAACAACCTTCAGGGCCACGCTGTGCCTGGGTGTTAAACTTGCTGGAATGCATTAAAATATGGCACTGGGAGGGGGGAGATCCGTGCACTCAGCAATGTGATGCCTCCAGCAGCTGCTCCTGCCACCGAGCCGTGCGGGAACAACGTGATCCACCAGGACTGGAGCGAGAAAGGAAACGAGCAGCCCAGCTGTGTGCTGCCATCCCTGCTCCCAGAGCCAGCCAGCGTGCTGTACCTGGCACTGCACAGGGATCAGCCACCAGGGCTTGCAGGAGATAAATGCCACGAACCTTGAATTTTAATTGCTGCTGTCGGGGCGGTGTGTGCCCCGTGCCACGCTGGGGAGCAGCGCCGGTGACACTCCGAGTGCAGCAAGCAAAATCCTATTAAGATAACGTCACGGCCTCTCTGTTTTACTGTTTGCAAGCCAGCCATAACATCATTAAATTACACAACAGGGAGGTGCCTGCTGCCAAGGGGCTCTGCTCGAGATAAGATGTGGCTTGAGCCGCTGCCAAAATTTGAGTTGATATGACAGGAAATTTGGAGCGGGTTCAAGGCTTGATTCACACCAGACATGGCACTGTGCAGGTAAATCAGGGCAGGATTGATCCCTGGGGCTGTGCAGGTACCTGGCACCGTGGAACCCTGGGCAGGATGGGGCTGGAGGGGGTTTGTAGCAGACAGATTTACAGCTCTTCTTGTGTTCAGCACTGACAGGAAGAAACCAGAGCCTGGCAGGGTGTGTAGGTGAAGTTCAGGGAGCTGTTTGCAGGTTCTTAGCTCTGCCGTCCCCTTCCCAGCCCTTCTGGGGAGTGGGAAGGAGCCTGAACACAAGACACTGCTCAGGGAAGCTGTTTTGTGGCGCCACAGCTGTAACAGCAGGAATAGGAGTGAGAAGAAAGAGCTGCATCATAAAATGCCACACAGCCTGTAAGAGCCCTGAAACCAGCCTTGCTGGTCCCTCTGTGTCACCCACCATGTCCCTGCCACTCTTGTCCGTGGAGCCTTTGTGTTTCTTGTGCCTTTTGTGCCCATTGTACCTTTTTTTGTGCCTCTTTGTGACCTTTTCTGGATCCTTTGTGCCGTTTGCTGCTGCAGGTGTGGAGTTTTGCTCCAGGCCCTCCAGACCTCAGGTTTCTCTCATGGATGGTCTGGACTTCAGCTCCTTCTTTCAGATCTGTGGGGAGAGCTCAGCCAGCACCATCCCCACCTTGCCATGGCTCAGCAAAATTCCTCATTGGCATTAACGACTTTTCTTTCCTGCAGCATCTTCCAGGCAGGGAACTGATCCCCAACCAGGGCTCTGGAAGCCTGGGCTGTGTGTGCAGAGATCTCCTTGCCACCCCATCCTCCAGGACAGGACATCAGGAAGGAAATAGTTTAAAATTATGCCGTAGAAGCAGTTTTCTAAGCGTTTTCCATTAGGGCTGCAGAGAGCCTGCCCTGCCCTGGGACTGCCTGGCGCTCCAGCACTGCTATTACAGCTTTCCCTTGTGGCCCTGTTTCTGGCACTGCTGATTTTTGGGGTCCCAGATGTATCCTGGCCATTGCAGCAGCTCAAGTACAAAGTGGCTGGGAAAGTGGCTTGGAATTCCTGTTACTGAGCTGTTCTCCATGGAGCAGCGTGTCCAGGCACATCCCACAGCACCCTTCCATCCCAGCAGTGGCTTTGCACACCTTGCTTGTGGCTATCAACTGACAGAGAATGGGTTTAGGTGGGATATTGGGAAGGAATTCCTGGCAGTGAGGGTGGGCAGGCCCTGGCACAGGTTGCCCAGAGAAGCTGTGGCTGCCCCTGGATCCCTGGAAGGGCTCAGAAAGGACCACCCCATTCCCAGGAGTAATTTCCTGCGTGTGTGACCTCTCTGCCAGCAGCTGGAAGTTCCAGGATGCCAATCCTTGTTCTCATATAACACAGATGCTTATTTCCAGCGCTTTGGGATGTCAAAAGTACCTGGATGAGCCCTTCCACCTGAGGTCCTGCGTGTCACCCTGCACACAGGGGACAGGGGACGTGCTGACTGTGTGCCTGTGCCTGTCCTAGGTGACCCCTGGCCAGGAGGGGCAGGAGGGGGAGCTGCTGGTGAAGGGCCCCTCGGTGTTCCGCCAGTACTGGAACAGACCCAAGGAGACCGCGGATGCCTTCACGCCCGACGGATGGTTCCGGACAGGTACGGGACAGGGACAGGGGACAGCAGCTCTGGGGGCATGCAGGGGGCTGCAGAGGGCTTGGAGCTGGGGCTGGCAGCTGGGAGTGCAGGCTGGATGTGCTTATAGGAAAAATGCAGCAAACCCCGGCTCAGGAAGAAATTGTGATGTCTGCTGCAGATCAGGAGGCTGAAGGATTGCTTTATTAAAACTATACTATATTATATTAATATACTATTTAAAGAGGTACTGTCCTATTCTATATACTTACTTCTTACTTAGCTATCTAACAACTAACAAGCTCAGCTTTATTAAAACTATACTATATTACATTAATATACTATTTAAAGAGATACTATCCTGTTCTACATACTTCCTTCTTACTTGCCCATCTAACCACTAACAAACTCGTGACTCTGCTGAGCCACATCTGGATCCCATTGGTCACTGACCCCAAACAACCTTCACCAGAACCCAACCCAGCCATCACTGCAGGTAAACAATCTCCCCACCACATTCTACATGGGGAAAACAAAGGAGCAGAGATAAAGATTGTTTTCTCTTCTTCTCTCTGTGCTTCTCCAAGAAATCCTGAGAGACAGAATTGTGTCTCTCTGTCCAGAGAATGTCAGTGTCACACTGGCTCAGGAAGGGCATAGTGACCAAGTCACCAAGTAATGGGGGGTGTTTGGGGTCCTTTGCTCCTAAGCATGAAATACCACTGCTGAATGTTTTCTTGGGAATTCAGCTCTGCTGACAGGTGGGATTTGTCTCAATTTACACAGGGACTATGTCACAGAATCATCAACTACCAACTAGAACCCCCTGAGAGGGGGGGTGAGGCCGGGTGGGGGTTGGGCTCTACTTCCAGGCTATCTGCTTCCAGTGATTTGAGGAAATGGCCTCAAGTTGTGCCAGGGGAGGCTCGGGTTGGACATCAGGAGGAATTTCTTTGAGGAAAGGGTTGTTCATTGGCAGGGGCTGCCCAGGGAGATGCTGGAATCCCCATCCCTGGAGATGTCCAAGGAACAGCTGGACATGGCACTCAGTGCCCTGGGATGGGTGACACGGTGGGGATCAGTCACAGGTTGGATTTAATGACCCTGGAGGTCTTTTCCAACCTCAGTGATTCTGGCATTCTCTGATTCCATGATACCCACAGCTCTGATTTCCCCATTCCCCTCTTTACTGTGTGTTAGCAGTGCTGTGGTGGCAGGAGTCAGACTGGATTTCTGATGCTGTCTGTGTAACCTGATTTACTGACTGCTCCTGAAGAAGCTGTGATTTATTCTAATTGTTCTCCCGAAGCAGAGCTCACTCTGCCAGCAGTGTCACCACGAGTCCCCAAGCCAGGCTGGGACCGGAGCATCTCCAGCCCTCACGTGGGGTGCAGGGCAATCAGCTTCAAAAATTTTTTTAGTCAACACTCCTGGTGAATATTTCAGCTGCAAAGGAATAACGTGCATTAATTATTGCAAAGAGATGTCTTTAGGAGAAAATGATTTTGAAATTCAGTTTAATTTCATTGTAATGCGCTGCAAACAGGAAGGGAGTATGTGTGTTTAATTGGCTCTCGGGGGTAAGGCCGGGAAGATGGCATGCCTTTGTCACAGGCCATTAGTGATACAGACTGCATAATGAGGGACTACAATCAGCTCACAGCTGCCGGCTCCTACGGGGAGAGAATGATATTAAATAGAAATCAGTATAAATTAAACTTAACCCTTTCGCCAACCGAGCAAAGCTCAGAGCTGAAACAAGGGAGGGGAGCAGTGACAGGAGTGGGGGGTTCAGGGTGGGTCAAGGGGTGCTTGGACAACCTCCCCCAGCAGCCAGGTGACCTCCCTGATGTCCCCCTTCCCTCAGGCAGGAGGCTGGAACTCCCTTCTCCATCCCTACACCCACTCTGCCTTCCTTACCCTCCTTCCCTCTCCTCCTCCATCTCCCGTGGATATCAGGTCAATGGGACTGAGTTTTTCCCAAGTCTCATTTATCCAGCAGTGCCAGGAGTGATCCCATGGCCCCATCCTCACCCTGCCTGCCCCAGCCTCATCAGCAGCCTCTGGAGATCACTCAGAGGTGGCAAATGTCCTGTGGTGGTAAAAACCTTTGAGGGAATGGAAGGGCTTGTGTCCTGTCACAGGGATTGGATCTGGAGGGTGAATTATCCCCATTAAGCGCAAATTGGTTACCCTGGAGTCAAAATCATACTGGCAGGATCCAACAGAGGTGAATCCTGGCCACTGCCAGGCTGTAATTCCCTGTATCTGCCACTTCTGGGTCATCCAGGTGGGGCTGAATGCCAGCACAAGGTGTTCCCAAAACACAGCCATGGCTTTCTGACCCCGTGCCAGGGTTCTGCTCACTGCTGACCCTTGTGGTGTCCCCACCAGTGACTACAAGCTGCAGGTGGTGGCCAGGTCCCTCAGGGCTGGGGTTTCACAGAATTATGGTGTGGATTGGATGGGAGGAGACCTTTAAGCTCGTCCTGTGCCATGGACAAGGACACCTTCCACTAGACCAGGTTGCTCCAAGCCCTGGCCAGAAAAAGGGGAGAAAAACCCAGTAACTTTGATGAATTCAAGATCATGGCTCTTCTGAGAAGCCTCTGAACTCCTGGTGGTGCAGAGGGGATGTGCTGTTGCTCCCATCCTCTTTATTCCCTGGGATTTGTGCTGCTGTCTGCCAATCCCTCCATCTCTCATTTCCATCCGAGTGAATTTGATTATTTTTATTTTGTTAACGCTGTTGACAGAGCTGCTTAGATCAAAGTCCCCTCCAGCCATTTCCAGGGAGACTGCTGGGTTTCCACCTGCTGTCATACATCCAAGTGGCACTGAGCCCTCCGAGGCCGAGCGAGCCCAAAGGAAAAATGCCTGTGGGCATCTGGCTCCTGTCCCTGCTGAGCCTGCCCAGCTGTGCCAGGCCCTGCCAGCTGAGAGGCAGCCTCCAAACCTCATGTGGCTGCTGAGAGGGGAGGAGAGGGGAAAAGAGGGAAGGAAGACATTTTTTAGGATGAGGACCTGGCACAGGGTGCCCAGAGAAGCTGGGGCTGCTTCTGGATCTCTGGAAGTGTCCAAAGCAAGGTTTTGGAGCAGCCTGGGACAGTGAAAGGTGTCCCTGCCCATGACAGGGAGTGGTACTGGGTGGCCTTCAAGGTCCCTTCCAACCCAAACCATTCCATGATCCTGTGAGCAAAATCAAACCTCGGGAACTGAAGGAAAGCAGCAGAGAAAGAGCAGCTTCTGTGGTCATCCATCCATCTGTCTGTCATCCATCCATCTGTCCATCCATCCATCCCCCATCCATCCATCTGTCCATCATCCATCCATCATCCATCCATCCATCTGTCCGTCATCCATCCATCCATCCATCTATCCATCATCCATCCATCCCTCCATCCATCATCCATCCATCCATCATCTATCCATCTGTCCATCATCCATCCATCCATCCCCCATCCATCATCCCTCCATCCCTCCATCCCTCCATCCCTCCATCCCTCCATCCATCTGTCCGTCATCCATCCATCCATCCATCCATCCATCCATCCATCCATCCATCCCCCATCCATCCATCCATCATCCATCCATCCATCCATCCACCCATCCATCCATCACCCATCCATCCATCCATCCATCATCCATCCATCCATCCATCATCCATCCATCCATCCATCATCCGTCCATCCATCCATCCATCCATCACCCATCCATCCATCCATCATCCATCCATCATCCATCCATCCATCATCCATCCATCCATCCATCATCCATCCATCCATCCATCATCCGTCCATCCATCCATCCATCATCCATCCATCCATCCATCATCCATCCATCCATCCATCCATCCATCCATCCATCCATCATCCATCCATCCATCCATCCATCCATCCATCCATCCATCCATCCATCCATCATCCATCCATCCATCCAGCCCTGGCACTGTCAGGCTGTGTTATCCCTGCCCAGGAGGCAGCAGGTGCCTTTGGAAGCACGAGGAAGGTTTGGGAGGGTGGTAGATGCCCACCACGGTGCCCAGCACTGCCCTGGCCCACGCCTCCCTGCCCACACGGGGTTCCTCCAGAGGAATGTGCCAGTCCAGCCCTGCTCCCCCAGGGAAGGCAGCTCCCAGTCACATTTACCCACACATCCAGAAAATTAGAACCTGGTGTATTCAGGGAGATTTATTTTCAATTACAGGTTAAGGCTGAGACATGAAATAGCACCGGGTCTGAAAGTAGTGCATAAATCCTGTGACAAATCCATGTATCCCTGCTCCATATAATAAGATTTTATTGATTGCTATATTGTATCTGTCAGAATAAAACTTTCTTAATGCATGCATCAGGATGGAGAAGATAGAGAGCTTGTTGGGAGTAGAATCTGATTCAAGAATCAATGCACTTTGATTAATATGTCGTTAAGAAAGTAAGAGTTATTTAACTTGTTTGATGCACATTGCAGAATGATGACTCATATCTTTTAAATTTCTTTATTTGAGCTGCATTTAAAAAAGCCCCACAACCTTGGAGCTGTTTTTCACATTGTTAAATCTTGGTTTGTCAGTGAATTTTTGCTGGATCCTTTTGCCCAGGTCACAAATGCCCCTGAACTCCATTAGTAATAAATCCTATGGCCCAAAACACTTCTCATATCCTGTTGTCAAGGCTTTAGAGGGAGAACAGAGTGGACCTGGTGTTTCTTTATTTCTTCTGGATGTTCTGCACTGAAAGACAACATGAACTGAAAGGGAAAACAAAACAAAACCCCAACCACAACAAAAAGAAGCTGTTTTCCCACTGTGATTACAAATCCAAGCACCAAGGACGAGCCCTGGCTCAGCTGGGAACATCCCACTCAGCATTCCCAGCTTGCTCCAGAAATGGAACATTTTGCTGCAGCCATGAATGCCAGTGCAGGGCCTGATCCCAGTGACTCTGACAGCTTTCAGCAACCTCCTGATGTCTCTCTGTCATTCTCAGACTGAGCTCTCCAGTCCACAACTGACACCAGCTGCAGATCCTTGCCATTCCCAGCCCAGGCTCTTGCAGATTCCATAGAATCATGGAATAGTTTGGGTGAGGAAGGACCTTTCAAGGCCATCAAGTCCAACCCCCATCACGACTGGAACACCAGGAGGGGCTGAGGGAGCTGGAAAGGAGCCCAGCCTGGAGGAAAAGAGGCTCAGGGGGCACTTTGTGACTCCCTGACAGGAGGGGACAGCCAGGGGGAGAACAAGGGACAGGATGAGACAAAATGGCCTTAGAGAAGGCTTAGGGTGGATATAGGAGAAAATTTCTTTGTGGAAAGGGCAGTGGTGTGTGGCAAGCACGTTTCTCTCCCTCTCAGGATTTTTCAAAGAGGTGCACAGAGAGAAATGAAAGAGAAAACAATTTTGATTTCTGGTCCTTGTTTTTCCCATGTGGAATGTGTTTGGAGAATTGTTTACCTGGGGTGAGTGCTTGGTTGGGTTCTGGTGAGGATTGTTTGAGCTGATGGCCAATCCAACCCAACCCAATCCAATCCAATCCAATCCAATCCAATCCAATCCAATCCAATCCAATCCAATCCAACCCAATCCAATCCAATCCAATCCAATCCAATCCAATCCAATCCAATCCAATCCAATCCAACCTGCCTGGGGCTGGGCTCTCAGAGAGGGGCACGAGTTATGTTAGAGACAGAGTCAGAGAAAGTAGCATGTAGTTTTGGGATCCTCCTTTTATACAGCATATTAATGTATTTTAGCATAGTTATAATAAAGAAATCATTCAGCCTTCTGAATTGAGTCCGACATCCTCATTCCTTCCCATTGGGTTCTCCTGCATTTACAATAGTGCTGGGGTCCCCATCCCTGGAAGTGTTGAAAAAACATGGATGTGACACTTGGGGACATGGTCAGGGGTGCCCATGGTGGTGGTGCAGGGCTGGTGGTTGGACTTGACGATCTTAAAGATCTTTTCCAGCTAATTACATGATTCTGTGATTTCCAGCCCTTCTGGTGGGAAAGGCAAAGCCTCCTGCAGTTTTCCAGCAGAGAGGAATGTGCTGTTTGTAGGAAAGGCCCTGGGCAGGTCATCCTTGGCCAGGCACAGCTCTTCCCTGCTCTGGGGCTGTGCCCTGAGGAGGAGGAGGATGCAGCCCCATCCCTCTGGCACAGGCTTTTCCCGGTGCTCGGCTGTCCCCAGGGAGCAGCAGGTGTTTCCCTGCCAGGGGAATTGCTCACATCCGTGGGTGGAGCACAGACACCTGAAAGAGAAAATACTTGAGGCTGATCAAGGCAGATTATAAATAGAAATGCATCTAATTAGCATCTTAATCTGCAGGTTTTCTGTTTGTTTGCAGTGGCTTTCCTACTCACAAATCCAGCTAATGCAAATTCTATTTTTAAAGAAATGATTCCTTAATTGTAATGTGCTGCAATTATGTGAGTTACCGGTGTGATCCCACCGGATGGAGCGGGGGCTCCTGCCTGGAGGAGCTTCTTGAGGAGTCTGGCAGGGATCAGCTCACGGTGGGGGCAGGATGGCAGGGCTCAGCTGCTGCCTTTGGGACCCCCTTCCCACAAATGCCATGGAAGGACACCCCAAAAAATGCCAGGTGCACCCCAAACACGCTGTTGTAGAAGGGGCAGGAGCAGAAGCCAGACCAGGCACGTGCTGGGCTCCCCTTTCCACCCAGCCCTAGTTTAAGAAGTGTTTTTAAAATTAAAACCATAAAGATGGAATATTTTCTGGTATATCAGCCTTTATCACCCCCAGAGGTTCCTTACACACACACTCAGAGCACTTTGGAGAGAGAATTCTCTTTTTACTTCCTACTTAAGTATTTATTCCTTCTCCTTGAGGATTCAGTATTTCCAGGTTTGCCTGACTACTGGAAGCCCTGGGGTCACCAGGACATGGGTGGGGTGGAACAAGATGAGTTTTAAGGTCCCTTCCAACCCGAAACATTCCCTGACTCTGTGATTCTGTGTCCCTGACTGCTGGTGAAACTGATGTTTTCAGCAGTTCAGAGTGACTTGGGATTTTTGTAGCTGTAAATGAGAGCAGCTTTTGGCACAGAATTTGTTTACTCTCTAAAGCTCTGCTCTCGTCGTATCAAACATCTTGGATGCCAACCCTTCCCTTCTTTGAGAACCTCTGCTGCACTGAGCCTCCTTTCCAGAGGCATGGAGCAATTGCTCCCCAGCTGAGAGTTGGTGGGAACAGCAGGCACCTGCAGCTCCAAAATCCAGGCTCTTCCCTTTTGTTCTGTGTCTGCTTTTACCCCTCGAGCTCTGCGACAGCAGTGCTGCTCTCACAGCCTGGAGGGAGAGCCTGGAACGAGCCCCTGACTGCTGGGAATCATTCTTCCCATCCCATCTTCCTCAATTCCATCCCATTTCAGGGATTTAGGAAGGAATCCTCCCTGGCAGGGTGGGCAGGCCCTGGCACAGATGCCCAGAGCAGCTGTGGCTGCCCCTGGACCCCTGGCAGTGCCCAAGGGTGACTGCATGGAAAAGAAGAGGTGATTCTGCCTTTTGCTAAGGTTTGATTGTCCCTCAGTGGCTGCAGGGAGCAGAGGGATCTGCTCTTATGTTTTTATTATTACCATTATTATTTTTTGTTACCACACTCCCCAAAGCTCCACCAGCCACATTCAGCTGTGCAGCCACGCCTTGGAGCATTGACTTATTTATTGCTCTTCGAGTTTTCTTTTTCATCTCCTTGTCTGCAGGGATTTCCATAGATATTTAAATGCTAATGTGAAAAAAAGAAGCGTTTTTCATTTTTACTTACCCGTTTTCTTTTCTGGCTGGTCCTCTGGGCAAACCCATCTGCAGTAATTCAGGCTGGAGGAACAGGGGGGTCCCTGCTCAGCCTGTTTGTGTCATATCAGTCACCCAGGAGTTCCTGCTAGTGAGGACTGAGCCTCCAAACTCTTGGCTGCCTGCTTTGCAGAAACCTTCCAGGTTTGCCTGGTTTATCCAGTGCTTTCCATTGGAGCAGGACATGCAGCCTGGGGAGTGTTCATCTGCTCTTGTCCTTCAGTTCTGAGGGCTTGGAGAGGCTCCTGGTCATGCTAAGCTGAAGAAATGAGATAAAAATGAGGAGCAGCACCTCTGCCAGGCCAGGCAGGATCTGAGGTGCTGCCAGGCTTTGCCAAGGCTGAGTTTCCATTTGGTGCTGTCCTTTCCTGGCTGGATGCCCAGGACTTGGCTGGCACAGGCTGTGTGAGGGTGTCCAATGCCAGCCCTGGCCAAGGCTGGAGCAGGGACCATCTGCAGCAACCCCTGAGGCCCCAGAACAGTAGGACAGACGTGGCTCTTTGTGTTTGGTAGCCAAACCTGCTGCCCAGTGGGATGTGATGGGAAGTCTGGCTTGCAGGGGATGGGAGAGGGTTGGGTTGGAGAAGGGATGGGAGAGGGATGGGTTGGAGAAGGGATGGGAGAGGGATGGGTTGGAGAGGGGATGGGAGAGGGTTGGTTTGGAGAAGGGATACAGTGGATGGTGCTTTCCCTGCCCCAGGGGGATCCTGAGTGCAGATACTGCAGTGGGACAGTGACACCAGAGGATAATGCCTAAACACTGCCCTGCCTTCTTCCCTGTGCTCAGGGAAGGAGAAAAATTCTCTTGGGAGCAGGGCAAGGTCTGTGTGGTGGAGTGAGCCCACTCACGGGAGCCAGGAGGGGTTGTGGAGGGGGAATGTGGATGGTGAAGGAAATAGGATGTGCAGACAAGCCAGGAGGGTCAGTGGGCATCACCCTGACTTCCCACCCTGCTGAGAGGCGCAGTAAATGTGAGGAGCCTTTGGAAAATACATGTGTGAGGGGAAGGAATCTCTGACAGATGAGCTGAGACAAGGGTTAGCTGCACTCGAGGCAGGTCCCCAAGTCCCTCTGTGCCCTGGCTGGAAGCAGGGTGGGCAGAGCTCAGCTCAGGCTTGGATCAGGCTTGTCTTACCTGCTCCTTTCCCCTGCCAGGTGCCTGAGCTGCTGCCAGCGCTGCTGGCACCGCTCCATGTCCCACACAGCCACACAGCGTGGGGAGGAGAGCCTTATTAGCACAGCTCTTTGTGAGATGCCCTTGAGTGATTTATTTTTTTCCAGGTGTAAATGCCAGGGGAGGCTGTTCCAGTGCTTCCCATTCTTTCATCTCGGCAGGGTTTTGCCCTTTCTCCCAGCGTGGCTCTGACAGCAGGCTCAGCGCTGCTGCCTGTGGAATACAAAGTTCCCTGTTAGAGAGCATGACAGGAATTCATTCCAGGCTGGGGCTTGCTTTTTTTTTTTATTTTTATTTCTGATTTTCTTTTTTCCTCATGCCGGCTTCTCCAGGAGTCTCTGGAGAAGTTCTGAGAGTGGGGAGTCTTGTTGTTTAACCCCTTTCTTCTGGGAGCAGGCAGCTTGAAGATGGCCCAGTACCTTTCCCAGATCAATCATGGAATATCCTCATCTGGAAGAGAGGCATTAAGATCATCAAAGTACAAATCCTGGCCCTGCACAGACACCCCAATAATCCCAGCCTGTGCCTGAGAGCATTTTCCAAGCTCTCCTAGAGCTCTGGCAGCCTCAGGGCAGTGCCCAGCACCCTCTGGGGGAAAAACCTTTCCAGATACCCACCCTAAACCTGTCCTGGCACAGCTTTGTGTGCATGGGCAGAAAGGGCTGCAAAGCAGCTTTGAGCTGTGATGCAATTCCCATCCCCTGCCCAAATCCAGAGCAAGGAGCAGCACCCTGAGGCATCTGACCAGCACAGGAACAGCACCCTGAGGCATCTGACCAGCACAGGAACAGCACCCTGAGGCATCTGACCAGCACAGGAACAGCACCCTGAGGCATCTGAACCAGCACAGGAACAGCACCCTGAGGCATCTGCATCCCTGCATCCCTTGGCAGCAGCCACGAGGGCACCCAAGGGTCTGTCCCCCCTCACTGCCTTTCAGCTGGTGGGAGGCAGGCACAGGGAAGAGGGAGGATGGCCCTGAGCTGCAAATCCACTTGGCAATTTTATGATGTGAGTAAATGGTGCTGCACATCCACCTGCTGCTGTTCGTGGCAAGGTGCAGGAGCAGCGATTCCCTTCCAATGGATTGATTCCCTTTCTCAGGAGCTGTTCAATTACCTCCAGATTTCACATGGGTGGCCAAATCCTGCTCTGCCTCAGTGGCCAGGGGCCAACAGAGCCTGACAGCCGCTGCTTGCTCCTGGATATTGGTGTGGGAGAGGCGTGGCAGCAGCCAGTGGCACCCTCAGGATTTTGGTGTCTTTGGATGGTCCCTCCTGTGCCCAGCAGGATCCTCCAGGCCAGAGCAGGAAGGGCTCTTCATTTCTAGGGGGTGAAGCAGAGCCTGCTCTGGGCCTGGGGGAGGCTCTGGGATGGAGTTTCAGAGAATCCCAGGATGGTTTGGGTTGGGAAAACCTTAAAGCTCATCCATTCCACCCCCTGCCATGGCAGGGACACCTTCCACCAGCCCAGGTGGCTCCAAGCCCTGTCCAGCCTGGCCTTGGCCATTTCAGAGGATCCAGGGGCAGCCACAGCTGCTCTGGGCACCTGTGCCAGGGCCTCCCCACCCTTGCAGGGAAGGATTTCTCCCTGATATCCCATCTAAGCCTACCCCTTTTCAGTTTGAAGCCATTCCCTGTGTGCTGTCCCTCCATCCCTTGTCCCCATCCCTCTCCAGCTCTCCTGGAGCCCCTTTAGGCTGTGGAAGGGCTCTGGGCTCTCCCTGGATCCTTCTTTTCTGCAGGTGAAGCCCCCAGCTCTGCCAGCCTGGCTCCAGAGCAGAGGGGCTCCAGCCCTGGAGCAGCTCCGTGGCCCCTCTGGACGGGCTCCAGCAGCTCCACACCCTCCCAGTGTGGCTGCAGGAGGAACCTGCCTGGACAGCACCTGCCTGTCCCACCTCAGGGACAGATCTGGGGCTGCAGCTGCTGAGCCACCCTCCTCCCAGGCTGCTGGAGGCTTTTGGCAGCAGATGGGAGTTGTGCTGCCAGCCAGGGCTGCCCGTGCCAGGCTAGCAGCTGGATCCAGGAGCCCTTCTCCCAGTGCCAGGGGCTCTGCTGGGCAGGCTGGGGACACCAGGAGAGGCTTTGTCCTGCACCCAGGGAGAGAGTGGGGACCCTGGGAGCTGCTGGGGAGAGGGTTTCCTCATGAATAATTGCTGTGGAATTAATATACATGTGGTTTTTTGAGGAAGTTTCAAACTCTGCCCCTCAGGAGCCTTTGATGCTTTATTCATCTCTGCTCTGCAGAGGCAGCTGGGCCTGGGAGCAGCCCCAGTGTCCTTGGGCAGGGCTCCTGTGAGCTCAAAGATGGCATTTGCTGGTCCAGGTGACCAAAGAGTCACTCCAAGGATGTGGCAGGCTCCAAAGGGAGCAGCAAGTTGGACTCTGGGAGCCTGGCAGGGTGGGAAAGGTGGGGAAAAGCAGGAGCTGATGATTCCAGCTGCACTGCTTCCAGGGAATGTGAGTGCTGAAGGGCTGGGGTGGATGGGGATGACTGGGGAGAGGAGACCCAGTCTTTCCCAAGTCTAATTAATGTTAATGAGCTACAATTAGTGCTCGTGACCTCTGTTGGCAGCCAAGATGGCTGACAGCAGGGACACGCATTCCTCACTTCCACGCAATAAATCAAGCTGAAGCTGCTCAGTTATTTAGCCTATCATTTAGCATTTCATTAAATAGATCTGTGCACATACATCAGCGCTGCTGAGGCGGTGTCAATCCCTGCAGGAGCTGGGATGGCTCCCATCAATCCCCACAGAGCCAGAGAGGCTCTGGATCTCAGAGCTGCACCTTCCCCAGCATCTCTCGGGTGCTGGGAACTCACCTGAGGCCCAGGATTCCAGCAGAGAGCGGCTCACAGGGAGCTGCTGCTGGTCCTGCAGGGAGATGTGCCTTGGAGAGAGGTCTCACTTGGAGGATGAGGTGGAATTCCTGAGCTGGGGATAGTCTGGAAGGTCCCTGGTGGAGGCAAGATGTTGTTTCTGCTGGGCCCTGCTTTGCCACCGTGTCTTCTCCCATCTCTTCTCCTAGGGAAGAAGCAACAGGACAAGATCAAAGAGCCTTCCCTGGTACCTAAGAGCCTTAGATATCAGGGGAGCTTTCCTCACAGAAAGGGACTCCCAGCAGTGCAGTCCCCATCCCTGCAGGGATTTCAAATCCATGAGGATGTGACGCTTGGGGCCATGGGTTAGTGCTGGGGAACAGGTGGAATAGACAGTCCTAAGGGCCTTTTCCAAGCCAAACAATTCCACGATTCTCCAACACCAGCAGCATTCCCCTGACACCCTGGAGGGGGACTCTGCCTCCTGCTGCTGCCCCGAGCAGCCCCAGGGGTTCCGTGCCCTCCCTCTGCCAGTGCTCCATAAAGGAATGCCCCAGCCCAGGCTGGCACACTGTATCCATCTTGTTTAATAGACTGGAAAGCTGATTGCAGCGCCGGGGTGATGGATTGCACCTTCCCGCAGTCGAGCGCCGTTGATATAGAATGAAATATTTATGATTTATTCCAGCTAATAAACTGGAGTGAAGGCTGTGATGTATGGGAGCAGATGGGGATCTGTGGAGGCAGTTTTCCTGCTGTGGGGGCAGGGAAAGGTGGGGGTCCCTGACGGAGAGGCAGCGCTTGGCCGCCCATCCCACGGCCCGGCCACGGAGGGGATGGATTATCTAATTCCTATAAAAAGCCTTTAGCGCTTGCCTTATAATCATTTATCCACCCCACATTGCTTTTCTCCAGCACAGGAGCCTCTGGGAATGGCAACAAACCATTTCTTTTTGCTCTGGGCTCGGGAGCCTGTGCCCACAGGGATGGGAAGAGAGGCAGAGTGACCACAGGAATGTCACTGCTGTGCCACACTAGTACAGATTGTGTCTGTACTGCCTGCAAAAAAATCCTTCCCATGGGTTTAGGGGAGTGGTGAGACACGAAACTGCCCTGGAAAGAGCAAGGAAACTTGAAAATACATGAGAAATGTGACAGACACATGGAGCTTATGGCTGCAGGAGGATTCCAAAGCCTGTGAAGCAGCATCTCCATGGTCTGCTGCTGGAGCTGATCTGCAGGCAGGAAAACTGTGCTGAAAGGAGGAGGGTGAAGGGGGACCTTCCTGCCAGCTGCCTCTGAGTGATCAGGGGGACAATCACAAGCCCTGGCGTGTCCCCATCCAGCTGTGGGTGCTGGGGTTGGGGACTTGCTACTGCAAAATCCTCACCTGGCAAAGGGGGTTTTAGCCCCCAGATTTTGCCTCTGCTCTCCCAGGTGGTGAGGATCAGGATCAAGGCTCAGGCTCTTCATCACCTGCCTGGGTTGTTGGGCCAATCCTACCTGGAAAATAAATCATAATCCCAATCAGTGAGGTGTGTTGGCCAGAGGGTGAGCTCTGCCTCAGCCTGATGGACCAGCAGGTAGGAGTTAATGCCAGGGTAGAGCAAAGATCCAGAACCTCCTGCCCACTGCTCCTGGTGTGTGAGGCCACTCCTCATCCCTCTGCTGTCCTGCCAGCTGGTCCCTTTCTGCCTGAGCAGCCTCTGGGTCAGTGTGCTTGGAGATCCTCTGCTGAAAGGCACCAGAGAAGGGCAAAGTGATTATTCCAGCTGCCTTCCTGCGAGCTCCCCGGGGCTTTTCCAGCTGGGAGCTTGCTGGTCCTCCCCACACACTGCCTTGGTGAGAGCAGCAGTTCCAGAGGAGTGCAGGAGGGTGAGTGCACTGCTCCAGCTCTTCCCTCTGGAAATGAGGGATTGTCCTGGCAGGAGAACAGCTGACAGCAGGGAATTCCTCCTGGAATTGGGGAAAAAACAAACAAACAAACAAAAACAAACAAACAAAAAAACCCCATAAATTTGGGTTAAAAAAACCCCAAAAGTGCAAGGCGTGCTGTGTGGTCTGAAGGAGCTCTGCTGGCTGCCCATGGGTGGCACATGATGGCTGTCCCCAGAGGAGCTCTTCTGTGTCCCTGCAGGTCAGTGTCACCTGGAGGAGTGGCTGTGAGACATTCCTGCTCTCCATCCCCACTCTGAGGAGCACTGGGCTGAGCTCTGCATGGAGCATTTGAAAGCCAAGAGTCTGCAAAAATCGGGAGTGATTCATTAACAGCAAAAAGGTCTAATTAATATTTGAAAGTGCTCCAGCCACATCCTGCTGCTGGCAGGGAAGAGCCCCCCAGCATCCCAGGAGCTCCTGACTAGAGCATGAACTGCCTCCAGAGCAGGAGGCTGAGATAATCAGCAAAATATCTGCCTTTCAAAGGGGACATTTGCTGTTTCTTGCTGTTTCCTGCTGTGCAGCACTTGGTCTGCTGGAGCTGGGGCAGGCATGGGGGGACAGCACACCTGCAAATCCCCAAATCCCCTGGGAACGATGCTCGTGGGCCAGGCTCTGCTGGTGGCACTGGGGCTTTGGTTTCAAACCTGGCACTGCACATCCTCGGATGGGACACAGCCAAATCAGAAACGTGCCTGCTCTCAAATCAACTGAGTCAGGACAGGAAGATTTCACTGACCTTCCCCTTCCAAGTGCATCCTGAAGTCTTGGACTCTCAGAGCCCCAGCACATCCTGGACATTCCTGACCCTCTGTCTTAGACCAGGCTGAAGTCACCTGATTTACCTAAAAAGTCATTTTTTTATGCATACTTCAGCTATCTGAGAGCTCCCCAAAGCCACTCAATATTTCATTTCTTGAGCCAGCGTTCCCTAGGTCAATAGTTGGTTGTACCTTTGATGTGAGAATTGTTCTGTGTTTGCCAGGAACAAACTGCCCTGTGGGTGAGGGTGTTGACACAGGTGAGGGGTTGATTCTCTTGTTCTCCACATGCTGGGGAGCAGCTCCAGCAGCCTCTTGGTCCCCACAGGGTCTCAGCACTCAGTGAAGGAGGTGCTCAAACTGCAGCAGAGTCCCAAGGGCCCTTTTCGTGTTTGCAGTGAGGATTTTGCAACTTGAGGAACCTCATGGCAGAAATCTCTGCAGTTTGAGCTGGGAAATGTTGGTCTCCATTTCCTGTGTCTCCTTCTGCATCTCGCTGGGAGCAGGTTGGTTGTCCAGAGCAGCTGTGGCTGCCCCTGGATCCCTGGAAGTGCCTAAGGCCAGGCTGGACAGGGCTTGGAGCAGCCTGGGACAGTGGGAGGTGTCCCTGCCCATGGCAGGGGTGGAACAAGACGAGTTTTAAGGTCCTTCCAACGCAAACCTTTGCCTAGTTCTCTGTTTTTAAGTGGATAAATATATCTATAACCGCCTGGAACTCCAGCAAAGGGCAGCCCCCGCCGGCGCAGAGCCTGCTCAATATGCAGCTCAGCAGAGCCTTTCACATTTCACAGAACAGATGCCCATGAGCATCTTGAAACAAATCCAAAGGTAGCAGTGACGGCTGCTGTCAGGGAAGCAATAATCCCACGGCCCCGGCCATGAGGTGCTGCTGCCACGGCTTTGTGAGGTGACAGGAGCTGGGGGCAGAGGAGAGATGGGGTGTCAGAGCCCCTGATCTCAGCAGCCAAAATTCCCTTCCTGCTGCAGCTGGGATGCTGCTTGTGGTTCTGAGCTGCATCCTGCTGGATGGAGCGGCTGGGATGGATGGGACACGGCACCAGCAGCTGCCCCTGGGGCGAGGGACTCACCTGTGACCCCCAGGAGGACGGGCACAGCCCTGGCTATGGCTCTCGGGGCAGCACCACTTTGGAAGTGACACTCAGCACTGCTGGGGACAGTCGTTGAGCAAATTCAGCATCTTTTTAACTGGTCTCCCTGGTCTGGGAATTCCCCACGGGCTTGGGAAGCAGGGAATGCTGGATGTGCCGCTGCACAGGCTGCCTGATGTGCTGGGCTGGAAGCAGATGGCGCAGGGCAGAGGGTAACGGGGCTGTCCTCGGTGCCTGGCATCCCCCAGAGCACTGGGGCTGTCAGCGTGGGAAGTGACAGCCAGGGCTGCTGCTGGAGAGGAGATGGAAGGGAAGAGACGGGGGGAATTACAGAGCTGGTCCCAGGAGCTCACAGCAGTCACAATAAGGATGTGACACGTCCCCTCCCTGCGCTGTGCTGCCGGTGGAATAGAGGGATCAGTGTGGGAAACAGCAGTGAGGGCGTTTGTGGGGAGCACAGGGGTGGGAGGGGAGCAGAACTGTCGGGGATCATTCACCCCATCAGGCAGAGGGAAAGCAAATGTGCCTGGATTCCTGTACTGACACCCCAAAAATGCCATGGGAACTGTGTGCCACTGACCCAGGGCTGAATTCCCTCTCTTCTCCCCATCTTTGTGTGGATAAGCAGCTCCTGCCATGACTCTCCCAGTGCCACCATTTCATTAATGTCCCCTGTCCCACCGTGTGTCAGGGGATCAGGGTGCAGGAGGCAGTTCAGCACAGCAGCCATGACTTCCTCCCCAGTCCAGGCAGCCAAACACCCAGAGAGCCCCAGTCTCAAACTTCCCTCAACTTCAGAATATTCCAGACAGCCTCAGCATCCACAGGGTGCCAGGGGCAGGCAAATACAGGAACAATTAATCACTCCCTGGCTGAGCTGAGCTGCTTGGGATCTTGGCAGATGCCAGCTGAGCAGGTACCCAGCTCTGCTGGGGATCACCCTGGATTTTCAGGACTGATTCTGATGTTTCCTTGCCCTGACAGTGTAAATCTCTGGGCCTTTGCTGCACCACAGTGCCAGCGGTGAGCTGGAAATGGGATGTGAAAACTGCATCACTGCTGGCACTGCTGCCCTGTGGTGCCTGGCTGGGCTGATTATGGGGTCACACCTGTGGGAAGGACAGCTTGGGCCAAACATCTTGCTCAGGACAGGCTCTCATTTTCCCAGTGTCATTTTCTGCCTTTTTTTTTTAGAATCACAGAATGGTTTTGCTTGGAAGGACCTTAAAGCTCATCTCATTCCACCTTCCACTATCCCAGGTGGCTCCAAACCCTGTCCAAACCCTGTCCAACCTGTCCAAACCCTGTCCAACCTGGCCTTGGACACATTCAGGGATGGGGCAGCCCCAGCTTCTCTGGGCACCCAGGGCCTCCCCACCCTCCCAGGGAACAATTCCTTCCCAAATCCCATCTAACCCTACCTTGTGGCAGTGGAAATCCATTCCCCCGTGCAGCACCACATCCACATGCCAGGAAAGGCAGAGGGGTCAGGGGAGCAGCCTCTGATGGAGCTGTTTGCTTTGCAGGAGACACGGCAGCATACAAGGATGGAGTGTACTGGATCAAGGGCCGCACCTCTGTGGACATCATCAAAAATGGGGGGTTCAAAATCAGCGCCCTGGAGGTGGAACGGCAGCTCCTGGCACACCCCCACATCACAGGTCTGTGCTGTCCCTGCTGCTGCCCGCCCAGAGGGGACAGGGCGTGGGGACACTGCTCTGGGGCAGCCCTGCCTCAGCAGGTGCTGGAGCTCCCTCCCACCAGGGGATGTTTAAACCCCACAGCTCCTGCTCTGCCAGGGCTGGAGCCGAGTCAGCAGAGCTCCTCTCTGATTTAGGCAACGAGGCTGCAGTTAAATCCTCCCTGCCCTTGTGCACGGCCCTGTGCAAGGGGTCAGAAGTGGTGCCCCCCCAGCTCCACACCACTCTGCACATCATCTTGCTCCCCCTCGACCCCAGATGCTCAAACCACAGAGCTTCCTGCCTTTTCCACACGAAAAGCTCTGTTCTGGTGCCAGCACAGAGCCCCACGGTGCCCACATCCCGTGGCATTTTCCCCCTGACCCCTGAGCCCCCGTCCTGCCCCCCTGGAGCTGTCAGGCCCTGAGGGTGGTGGCTGCTGTCCCTGCAGACGTGGCGGTGATCGGGCCCCCGGACGCGGTGTGGGGACAGCGGGTCAGCGCCGTGGTGCGGCTGCGCCGGGGACAGATCCTCTCCGTCAGGGACCTGCGGGACTGGGCCAGGTAAAACCCGGGGCAGGGGACACGCAGAGCGGGCTCAAAGCCAGCCGTGTCCTCAGCACACACGTGTCATGGGATCATGGCATTGTTCAGGTGGGAAGGGACCCTAAAGCCCACCCAGTGCCACCCCCTGCCATGGCAGGGACACCTTCCACTGTCCCAGAGTGCTCCAACCTGGCCTTGGACACTTCCAGGGGATCCAGGGGCAGCCACAGCTTCTCTGGGCACCTGTGCCAGGGCCTCACCACCCTCACAGGGAAGAATTTCTTCCCAAATCCATCCCTGCCCTTTGCAATTTGAAGCCAATCCCCCTTATCCAAGCACTCCAGGCCTTATAACAAAGTTATTCCCCCACACCTCCTCTTTTCCCACCTGAGCCAGCCCAGCTCTCTCAGCTTTTCCTCCCAGGACACACACTCACTATGCTGGTGGCTGCTCAGCCCTAAATCTCGTGCCGGGGACATTGGTGACCCAGCCAGGAGATGCCTTCATCCCCCACCTGCAGCCTTGGGGATCCCCCAGGTTGTTCTGGGGGTCCCTGGTGGCAGGCTGGGGGCTTTGCCCAGCCCCCCTGGCAGAGCACTCTGTCACTCTGTCTGTTCCCATCGCTGTCCCCAGCGCGGTGACAGGGACATGGCTCTGGTGCCACCTCCCCGCGGGCTCTGGCTGCGCTCCCAGCCCAGTGCCCCGCCCGCCTCTCCCCTCGCCCTGTCTCTCCCCTTTATTTTTGATGTCACTTAGGCTCTCTTGGCCTCTGTTGTCGCCCTCGCTGGCAGGAGACACATGTCCCTCTTCAGAGTGATTCATTTTGCGGCTTTCGCCGTGCGCGGTGCTCGCCGGCGACAGGGACAGCACCGAGTCACCGGCTCCGTGTGGCCGGGGCTGGCGGCGGCCGGGGCTGGGCAGAGCTGGCACCCCCGTTACAGCCGGTACCAGGTGCTCCCGGGGCTGGGCAGAGCTGGCACCCCCGTTACAGCCGGTGCCGGGGCTGGGCAGAGCTGGCACCCCCGTTAGAGCCGGTGCCGGGGCTGGGCAGAGCTGGCACCCCCGTTAGAACCGGTGCCGGGGCTGGGCAGAGCTGGCACCCCCGTTAGAGCCGGTGCCGGGGCTGGGCAGAGCTGGCACCCCCGTTAGAGCCGGTGCCGGGGCTGGGCAGAGCTGGCACCCCCGTTAGAGCCGGTGCCGGGGCTGGGCAGAGCTGGCACCCCCGTTAGAGCCGGTGCCGGGGCTGGGCAGAGCTGGCACCCCCGTTAGAACCGGTGCCAGGCGCTGCCGGAGCCGGGCACGGCCCCGGGGAGGTGCCACACGGGCAGCAGAAGCAGGAGAGCCCCGGAGGGCACAGGGTGGTGCTGGGGCTGCGATTGCTGCCGGTCACCCACATCCCCCGGGGAGGCGACTCACCTGCGGTCCCCTCCGGGGTCCTGTCCCGCTGGTGCTGTCCCTGTCCCTCTGGTGCTGTCCCTGCCCCGCTATCCCAGTCCCCAGAGCTGAGCTGCTCCCCACAAACACCCCACCACATCTCCCGGCGCGCTGAGCCTAAATGTGCTCCTGGGCTGTGGGTGGGGGTCCCAGGTGGGGCTGGTTGGGCTCTGGGAAGGCTCAGCTGGTCCTGCCCAGCTGGAACAGCCCCTTTGGTGTTCCAGGGCCACCATGGCTCCCTACGCCATCCCCACAGAGCTGATCGTGGTGGAGGAGATCCCGCGCAACCAGATGGGCAAAGTCAACAAGAAGGAGCTTCTGAAACGCTTTTACCCAGCCTAGTGCCCACCCGGGGGTCATCCCTGGCAGCTCTGGGCTCACTGCAGCCCAGTCCTCGAATCATGTCCAGTAAAAGTAGGATTTGTCCCTCCTGGCTGAGCTGAGCCAGAGCTGCACAGTTGGGGTTTCCTTGTGGGGAGCCCTTTGCAGGAATCACAGAATGGGTTGGATTGGAGGGGACCTTAAAGTCCATCCAGTCCCACCCCTGCCATGGGCAGGGACACCTCCCACTGCCCCAGGGTGCTCCAAGCCTCGTCCAGCCTTGGACACTTCCAAGCTCTGGGCACCCTGTACCAGGACCTCTCCAGCCTCACAGGGAGTGATTTCCCAGCAGAAATGAAGAATAAATCCAAAATCACACATAAATACTGACTGCATTACCCAGTGTATTCGCCACCACCAGGTGATCCCAGTGCTCCATTGATAAATCCCACCTTTCAGCATGGAAGTTTGTCCTGTTTGACTCCACACACGAGCTGCCAGCCCCAGGGATGATGCCAGCGTGGCACAGCAGCCCCCAAGCAGTGGGTCCATCTGCTCTGGCCCTGTCCAGTGCTGGGGGGCTGGCGGGGGGCTCCAGCTTTCCCAGCAGCTGGTGGGGCTCTGGGGGCACCAGGGAGGGCAGGAGGAGCAAGGAGCACAAGTAATTCCTTCGTTAGGGTCACTTGAGCCCCAGAAATCTGAGACATGTATAGAACATGGAAAGGACATGGAGGGAACCATGGCAGGCACATGGTGCTGGGCAGAGCGGGCAGAGGGGGGCTGGGATGAGAGTGGGGCTGGGAAAAAGGGGAAGGGGATGTGGATGGGGCCAGGCTTTCCCCTGCACAGGGGTCTGTCCATCCCAACACCCTGCCCACACCCTGGATTCTGGTGCTTCAGGCTCACAATGGTTTGGGATGGGGACACGAGGGGCACCCAGAGCTCCTGAGCCACCCCTCAGTGTCCCACATGCCAGGCACAGGGACACACACTCGTGTGCAGCCCAGCACAGCGGGAGGGCCCGAGCCCATCCTTTGTTAAAACATCAGCGATGCAGTAAATTTCTTAACTTACCAAATAGATCAATATCAAATTATCATGTCTCGCATTCATAACTCTTAAGCAAGCAACAATGGAGAGAGACAAGGTCACTGGAGAATAAATAGCAGCGAAAGCTCTTCATGATCTATCATTCCCGACAAGCCCGGGCACCCCGCACCAGCCCGGTGACAAGATCATTAATAAAACTCTGCAGGAGCGCCATCGATTGCTTTGATGGATGATCACAGGTAGCAAACACTGTAAAACACCTGGCTGTCACACACAGAACGGGGACTTGGACTCACACCTCGGCACAGGGACGGCCTGGGGCTCTGCCAGGTTTGCTCCTCGGGGATTCCCACAGGGAGGGGGTCAGGGGTGACCCCCAGTTTGGGGTTGCCATCCGTGCTGGACCCTCATGCTCCCACCTCCGCTCGCTATAGGTGGCACCTGTTAATTAAAAGCCTCGTTAGAACACCCGGTCACAATGGCCTGTGTGGGAGCTGAGCTGGATGGAGATGGGGTGGGGTGACCTGGTGCCTCTGGATGAGCCTGGAGACCTCCAGGAGCACCAGCACAGCCAGGACTGGAGGGAGGGATGGGGTCCCAAGGCTGTGGCTCGGCTCCTGCATCCCTCGGGGTGCAGGGGGGCTCTGTGTGTCCCCCCCCAGCTCCAGGCTCTGTGCTTGCCAGCCACATCAGCATTGACGGTGGGATCATATGTACACAACCATTCAATTACCCCGTAATGGCTGCAGGCGATTAAGCCATCAATCTCCTTCATTAGGGCCTGCCAGGCCCGGCCCAGCATCACCCAATAAAACCATTAAAACAACAACAACCCCAAGCAGCAGCTTTAATGCATTGCCCATAACCTCAGTCCTGACAGCGCCGGGGGTGTCCCCGAGCTGGGACCCGCTCGCCCTGAGGAGGCTGTGCCCTGCTGGGGTGTCCCCGGGGAGCTGGGGGCTGCCCACCCCTCTGTGCCCCCCAGCCCGGCACAGCAGGACCTGCTCTAGCACTTTATAGCTGACATTCGCTTTTATTGCCATATAAAATCCAAGCTCTGGTGCCTTTATGGGGCTGCGCCGGCGTGTGGCACCTCTGCACTCCCCGCTGCTCCCTCTGCCCTCCTGGGCGCTGCCCTGGCCCCCTCCCCGGTCCCTGCACCGGGGTCACAGCTGGTGCCAGTGCCCCACAGCGAGGGGCATGACTGGTGCCACACTGGGGTGGTGACAGGTCCAGCTGCACCCCACACTGGAGATGTGACTGTCCCAGCACAGACTGGGGTACAGCCGGTCCCAACCCCGTGATGCTGCAGCTCAGGGGGTGGTAGTGGGGGGGGAACCCTCCAAAATCGGGTGACCCAGCAGCCAGAGCAGCACGGGAAGTCGTGGTCCTGGGCTGGGACCCCAAATCCCCGCGCCACAGCGGGAGCCCCGGTTTGCAGTGCAGGGACAGCCGGGGGTCCCTGTCGTGCTGCAGCCGTGGCCGTGCCACCGGCAGCCTTGTCAGAGCCTGGCACGCCCGCCAGCCCCGGTGGCAGGGGACATCTGCTCGGCCACCCCGCTGCCACCGCGCCTCAGGCTCTGGGACGGCCGCGGGACCCCCGGGCAGCGCCACCGGGGCCGCTCCGCGCCGTGACACCGACGGGGGGTGACACTGCCGGGGGGTGACACTGCCGGGGGGTGACAGGGTGGCGGGGCGGACGGACATGATCGGACAGACAGACGGACGAGTGAGCGCCGCTGCCCACGCCACGGCCCAGCCGCGCCACGGGTCACCCGTGCCCGGCGCTCACCCACTCGCGACACGTCCCTGGGGACAGTGACAGCCCCGCCAGCACCGCGCAGCTCCCGGGTATGGACAGACACATCCCGCACCCTCCTCCCGTATCCCTGTTCCCACGCCTGGATCCCCATCCCCGTGCTGGGGACCCGCCCCGGGGGCACCGAGGGCATTTATCCCCAAGGGAGGGGACAGTGCTGACCCCACACTGCTCACACCAGTGTCACCGACACATTTTCGCTTCCTTGCCAAGGCCAGGACTCGGTTTCCCGGGAGGACAAGAGCTCCTCGCCCCCTTGGCCCTGCGCGGGGGTCGTGGGTCTCCATCCCGAGGGGCGGGGGACGCTCCCCGGTGCGGCTCCGCGGGCTGAGCACGGCCGGGAGCGGGCCCGGTGGCCGGGACGATGCTGCCATCTGGTGTCACGGAACGGCAGCGGCGCCGGGACAGGCACCGGGGGTCGGGGGAACACCGGGACCGGCCGCGGAGGTCGAAGGAAGCACCGGGACCGGCAGCGGGGATCGAGGGAAACACCGGGACCGGGGTCGGGGGGCAGCGCCGGGACAGACAGCGGGGACCGAGAGCCTCGTCGGGACCCCCGGAGCGGCCCCCGGTGGGAACCCGGCGGGCCCGGGAGGCGCGGGACGCTGCCGGTCCCTCTCCCGACTCCGCTCTGGGACGGGCCCCGGCGCCCACACAGATGGCACCGGCACCGGGAACGGCTGCGGAGAGACGGGCGGGTTCGCCCCAGCGGGAGGCGCGGCCGAGCGGGACGGGAAGAACCGGTCCCGGTCCCGGTCCTGCTCCAGGCCCCTGTCCCACTGTCGGTGTCGGAGCCCGTCCGTGTCTCGGTGGCTGTGCCGGTGCCGGTGCCGGTGCCGGTGCCGGTGCCGGTGCCGGTGCCGGTGCCGGTGCCTGTGCCGGGGGGCAGCGGGCCGGGGTCTCCCCCCGCCTCCCGCCCCGTCGCGGCATCCCCGGAGCGCGCCCGGCGGCAGCTGCCGCGTTCCGCCCGCCCTGCCCGGGGCTGCCCCCCGACCCCGGCCCCGCTCCCCGGCCCGGCCAGCGGGGACCCCCCCGCGCCCCCCGCACCCCTCCGCGGCCCCCGCACCTCCCCCGGGCCGGGCCGGGCAGGGGGCGCGGGCTGCGGGCCGGGGGCGGCGGGGCCAGCTGCCCGCGGGGGGGTCCGGTGCCCGCGGCACTTGTGCTGTCACTCAGCCGGTCCCGCCGCTATTTCAGCTCGGGGCCGGCGGCCGGGCTGTGCCCCGCTCCGCCATGGGCCCCCCGCTCCTCCTCGCCTGCCTGCTCGCCCCTCTCTGCGCTCGGGTAAGGGCTGCGGGGACCCCGGGCTGCGGGGTGGGGGGCGGGGTGGGGACCCCCGGCTCCTGCCCCAGGGGGGCCGGCTGGGATGGGGACCCTGCACGCAGAGCCGGGGGCCGGCCGGACCCCAAACCCCGTGGAAACTCATCCCTGGGGGCAGCAGGGATGGGGCTGGGGGTGATGGGGGCTCGGAGCCCCTCTTGAGGCACTTCCCACCCCACAGATGGTGTGGCAGGGGGGGGCCTGCGGCTCCGGCACGGTGCCTGCGCCTGGGACCGGCATGGGCTGAGATGGGATCTGGGGGAGGGTTAGGCGCTTAAAGCCACCCTGCTCCTCTTTTTCCCACCCCAGCTGGGGTCCCAGACCTCCCTGCACGCCCCCTGCCCACTCACGCCCCCCCAGAACCCCCATCCCGGTCTCAGGCCTGAGCCACACGGGGCCCTTGGGGTTCTGGCCTGGAGCCCGTGCTCGGCTTCTTCAGGGCAGGGGGAGGAAAGGAAAGGAAAGGGGATCTGCAGGGCAGCCCCACAGCGTCCCTCCCTCCCTCACATCCCCATCCCCCCCAGCTCCAGCGGCCCCCAGGGACGGGTGGGGGGTTTCTCCTGCTGGAGGAGGGCGCAGAGAAAGACCCGGAGGCCACAGCGCACCCCCGAGCCTCAGTGGCAGCCCCTCGTCCTGCCCATGCCGTGGGGCTGGTACACAGCCCCCCTCCCCACACCCCCCGGCACTGCCAGCCCCACTGCCCCGTGCCCCTGCCCCCCAGCAGGGCACACACGGCCCCTGGCAGCCAGGGCTGCGGGCACAGCTGGGCACAGATGTGGGTGCCAGGCTGGCGCTGCCCAGATGTGCTCCCTCCTGCTTTCACACCCCCAGCTGCCACAGTCCCCATGGCTCCAGGTCCCCCCACCATCACCCCAAATCCCTGCCCTCTGTCCCACACAGCCCCATAAGCCATCCTTGCCCCCACAGCTCCCTGACCCCACTGCAGCCTGCCACAACTCCTGTTCCCCTTGTTTCCCCCCCAAATCTCCTCCTCATAACTCCCAGCTCCATCCCAGGCCCCCAACTCCCTCTGCCTGCCCCCAGCACCCCAGCCCTGTCCCTCAGGGTCCCACTGACAGCCCAAACTGATCCCCGATCCCCCAGCCCTCACTGCCACACCTGTGTGGTGACAGTGACATGGAGGGGAGGCCACAGTCGGTGCTGCCTGCCCGAGGTACCCCCCCGGGGCCTGTGGGGC